AAAAATTATAAAAATTAATGTTTACATAGATGCTTTAATTGATTGATTAATTAATTAATTTAAGTCAACATTTATAATTTTTTATATAAATTAATTAAAAAATTAAATTTATTGTATATTTTACATGTGTAAAAATCCATTAATATATTATAAATTAGAAGTAAAAAACATGATAATTGCAGTTTAACACAGCTAAGACTCGAACCTCGTCTTCTGCATAATGATGAAAGGTAACATACCAATAGAATCATTGCATATAATGTGTCAAGTTATTGAATAATATTATATTTATTTAATTCAATTGACCTGGCAGTTTAACCAATTAAACTGATCAAACTGAGAACCAGAGATCAAAATGATTTGAACTCTGAGTCGGTTTTCAAAACACTGCTCTTAGTTGAGTGAAAAGAGCCTATCATTAAATAACACGTAAGGTTATACAAAAAAATTATCTTTGAATCATTTTTCAATTACACTATGAAGGCACAAGTTAAAATGTTTATTAAAAAATTATATATAAAAGGTTATATCTCAATCATTTTTTTTAGTTACTTGGGAACGCCAAAAAAAAGAAAATGCTTTTGGATTACTAAAAAATTTTAATCCTAGAATATAGGATCCAAAGGCTCCGGAACTCTAGGAACTTTTTTACCTAAATCTTGTTTTTCTAAAGGTGTCTCATAGTGCCTTGAAGCCTTTAGGACTTGCTTAAGTCCAAGTTATTGTTTCTATTTTCCAGCTTTTTTTAGTTCCTTGAGAACACTACTATAAAATAACACTTTGTTTTTGTTAGGTAAAAACCGTTCATAAACCCCTGAATTTGTCCCAGAATAGCATTTAAGCATCCTAAACTAAATAAGCCCTCTAACTCTACAATTAGTGCAAATAAACCCTTATCACAAATTGTCCAAATGGCTATATTTGATGGTGCACTAACTTTGTTTATTTTTTTACTTCTACTAATCCACATAGATGTATATGCTAATATGGTACTATTCCATGTTGATGTACATATGACGTGGATAAAAAAGGTGAAATTCAAGTGCACTATAAAAAAACTGAAAAAAAAACATTTATTTAAATTAGAAGGTTAGGGTTTCTACCCTCATTTTATGCTTTGCTCTTCTACAAAATTCCTTCTCCTTTTTCCTTTAGAATTTAAAATTAAGGTAGGGTTTAGCCATGCCTTATTCTTATTCATCATAATCACAATCTCAAACTCAAAGTTCCTCTCCTACATCTATAATTCTATTTAGAAATGGTTACTTCAAAGTAGAGTATTGAAATGAAGGTAGATTAAGGTGCTACAAATGTTGGATTGTTGCTCCAAAGATAGCATGGAGGGGCTTTGCTCTTAGATGTGGATAGTCTTATCACCACTACAAGAAGTAAATACAAGCAACACCTCACGTATGTTGGTAACTAGATTCCAAACTAGGCTCTAAACCTTATCAGTGCATTCTTCCAACTTCTAAACCTTTGAACTTCAAGTTTGAATCTAACAGCTCCATTAAGAATTACAAAAGCCAATTCTTGATGATCATGTTGGAGACAAGTAAGGAGTAAAGGGTAGGTGAAGGTGGAGGCCAAAGTGGAGATCAATTTCAGAGGTTAGGTCTTTGGTCTTCTATGATTTTGGTGAAAGGTTGGCAAAAGAGTCAAAGTCTTACATGCACAAATACAACCAATCAACATATACATCTATGTGGATCAGTGGAAGTAAAAAAAAAAAAAACAAAGTTAATGCCCCGTTAGATACAACAGTTTGGCTTGTTTGTGATGAGGATTTATTTACACCAATCATGGAGTTGGAGGACTTATTTGCTTCATTTTTAGTTTAAGGGCTTAAATGTTATTTTGAGATTAATTTGGGGGCTTAAGAAAGGTTTTTGCCATTTTGCTTGATAACCAAACCTTTTTGTCTTCCTTTAAACCCGTATTCCTGTCAATGCTTACAGGGTGTTCTTGATTTATCCATTTCTTTGAGGATTGTTCTATCTTTGGAGAAGAATGTTGATTCAACTCGCTACAAAAGGGGCATATTTTCATATCTTCTCTTCGGACAACATAATTTTGCATGCCTCCATCTATCATTCTTAACTCCTTTTATTATTCTTTGCTTGATCTATGTTTATACAAATTACTAAGTATTTTGTTTTGTTTGTTTTTATTAGAAAAATCGAATTTTCATATTGTCTTACATAAAAAAAAGTGTAGAAATATTGTGAAAAGACTTAATTACCCTTAATGAATTTTCACATAAAAGGAAGATTTATGATTATTGAGGGTGTTTAAATAATTTCACATATAAATAATGGTTCTGTTTTTTTTTTTTTAATAGTGAAGTGATTTATTATTTATTAAATATATATACAGTATAAGGGGTTGCCTAACTGACAAAAAATACTTCTGTTACACGGAATCAAAGAGCGATAAAAAACACACTTAATTACAAAAACTTCGTATAGGAATCCAAAGTGACACTATCCAATTGCTAGAGGCACACAATGCGGGTTGTATTGATACGATTTTGCACTTTTTGACAAGAATAATTTGTTCCATTATTTTAAGTGGTTCTTTATTTTTGGGTAAATCAAGACACAATTTGTTTCAACCTTACCCATTCATTTTCTTTGATATGGACCATTGTTTTTAAAACCAAACAAAGGTCAAATTATCTTGACCTCTTGTTTTTTATTTGATTGGTTTAACCAGTTAAATCAATTAAATTATAGTTTAATAGGTTGTAAATTATTTAATTTATATAATTTTACTTATATAAAAAAAATGTATAAAAATGCTATGTTGGAAGCATTATAATGTTTAATTTATTTATTATATAATTTATATTATAATAAATATAGATGCAAGACATAAAAATTAATAGCACTATATGTCTTGTGGCTAACTTCTCAATACAACACTTAGAGGAGGAAGGTTTGAGTCTGGTCATTATCAAATCTCTTACCATGACACAACTTGTTTCCCCAAAAATCCTTAGTCGGCCTTTACCACGTGAGTTGGATGTTAGGCGTGCCACTTGTTTTGTCTAAAAACAAGAAAATAGAATTTTCCAGACGACCCTTCTCCTTTCCAGCGGTCGACCTCCAATAGGATGGCTGGAAAGAACGTCTGTGAAATGAATTGCACCCCAAACGATGTTGCAAAACAGAGGGTAGAGTTCTGCAAAATGGGTTATTAATTGCCTTGGAAACCTCCAAGCACTTCACAACCAAGCAAGTGTAATAAAAGCCACAAATCCTAAAATAAATGCAATATCCTAAAGCAATTAAACTAACATGAAGTAAATAACAGAAAATAACATGCCATAAAAATTAAATTCGCAGACAACAGAAAAAGTAAAATAACAGACAATGATTTCAACTACGTAGCCCATAATGATAACTAAAACTAAAGAAGAAACTATGAAATAATTAAGGTTAAAACCCCTTTTTGGTCCCTGAACTATTGTACGGACCCCCGATTTGGTCCCTGAACTAAAAAAATCCCTGATTTGGTCCCTACTGTTTACCATTTTTACCCCGATTTAGTCCTTCCGTTAAAAATTGATTGACGTGTCCCATTACCTAACGAAAAAAGATGACAGCATGGCAAAAAAAGAATGATATGGCAAAAAAAAAAACAATGACATGGCAAAAAAAAACCTTAAAATATTTCCTTTTCCTTTTTTTCTTTTTTTCTTCCTTTCTTCTTCCTTCCCTTTCACCTTCTGCAAACCCTAACACCTTCTAACATTAAATCAAAAAATAATACAAACCCAGAATCTCCCCAAACCAGTCACCGCCCTAAATTCTTTCTTTCAACCTCCCCAAAAAAACTCAGAAATATCATGACATATTTTTCCAAAAT